TCCACGGGCATAGTTATTGGCAGCATCTTCCTTGCCGGTGATCAGCTGCTCAGGGTGGAAGAGCTGGTGGTAGGTGCCATTTCGAACTTCATCAATGACTGTGGGTTCCAGGTCTACAAACACTGCCCTGGGCACATGCTTGCCAGCGCCTGTCTCACTGAAGAAGGTGTTGAAGGAGTCATCTCCCCCACCAATGGTCTTGTCACTTGGCATCTGGCCATCGGGCTGGATGCCGTGTTCCAGGCAGTAGAGCTCCCAGCAGGCATTGCCGATCTGGACACCAGCTTGGCCAACATGGATGGAGATGCACTCACGCATAGCTGAGACTTGTAGGGCTCGGCGGGGCTGAAAAATGCGAGGGACTGGGAACAAGGACCTCCCACTGACAGATTACCAAGGATTCCGGGGGAGAAGTTGATACCACTTTTTAAAAGTATATATTTTATTGATTTCAGAGAGAAAGGGAGAGGGAGAGAGAGAGGGAGAAACATCAATGATGACAGAGAATCATCAATTGGTTGCCTCCTGCACACCCCTTACTGGGGATCGAGCCCACAACACAGGCTTGTGCCCTGACTGAGAATCACACTCTGATTACCAGGGGCTAGTGGATGGGGGAAATAGGGAGATGTTAGTTAAACAGTACAAAATTCCAGTTAGAGATGCATAGGTTCTGGAGATCAAATACACAGCATAGTGATTATCTATACTAACTAGAGGCCCAGTGCATTAAAACTCATGCACACAGGGGGTCCCTCAGCGAGCTTGTGCCCTCTCATAGTCTGGGATCCTTGGGGGATGTCCACCTGCTGGCTTAGGCCTGCTCCCCGAGAACAGATGATCTAAAATAAAGAATCATATCCTTGGGTAAGGATTTTTTTAAAATATATTTTTATTGATTTCAGAGAGGAAGGAAGGGGGAGAGAGAGATAGAAATATCAATGATGAGAGAGAATCATTGATCAGCTGCCTCCTGCATGCCCCCCATTGGGGATTGAGTCCGCAACCCAGGCATGTGCCTTGACAATCAAACCTAAATATCAATGATGAGAGAGAATCATTGATCAGCTGCCTCCTGCATGCCCCCCATTGGGGATTGAGTCCGCAACCCAGGCATGTGCCTTGACCAGAATCAAACCTGGACCCTTCAGTCTGCAGGCCGATGCTCTATCCACTGAGCCAAATTGGCTAGGGCATGGGTAAGGATTTTTTAAAAAGGTAATGGTCACATGAAAATTCACTGCTGGCGGGGCTGAAGGGAATGGGGGACTCCTGTGGCAGGTGCACAGAGCGTCCAGACCTGCCTGCACACTTGAGGCCCTCCCCCACAATGAGTCTGAGGGGACTGGGTGTTGCCTTCTTGTGAATATAGGTGCCGCCCTCTTATGAGGGCATGACAGTCAATTAGCATACTCCCTCTTTATTACATAGGATAAAAGGGTAATATGCTAATTAGACCAGATAGACCAGATGTCTTCCAGATGTCACTCCAGACATCCTTCCTGATAAAGCCAGGGCCTGGGCAAAACCTGCGGCCAGCCAGAGGGAGAGAAGCCTGGGTCCTGGGTGCAGGGTCTGAGGCAGAAGCGGTTAGGGGTGATCAGGCCAGCAGGGGAAATTTCCCATCCCCTGCCTCAGTGGTGAATGTTCCTGTCTCTTTAAATTGTCAGCCCTAGGCACCCCCTCCCTGGACTTCCTGCCTCTGTGGTCTGAGAGGAAGGACATTTCCCCATGTGCTGGGAGGAAGAGCCTGCTGCACTTACGACTAGAAGACAGCAGTAGGTCAGGGCCTTCTGGTGCCAGACTCAGAGCCTGTCACTGATTCTGCAGGAAACATGAGGGCCAGCAGGGGAAGGGAGCAGGCCATGGAGTAGGACCTTTGAGGACCAGGAAGAATTCAGTGCCTGCAAGAAGCTCACTGAGTGAGCACCTCCATTCTAATAAGTACCAGGAAGGGGAGTGGGATCTAGAAAGAGTAACTCCACACTCCCGGGTGTGTAAGGATGCCTGAGTTTCACACACAGCAGCTTCAGGAGCAGTGGCAAGCATCTTCTCCAGCCTAGATGCCCAGGCTCTTGCTTGTGCTAAGCTCCCTCCTAACCTACTCCCCTAACAAGGAAGGAAGAAAGGGGTATGCTTACTCTTCTGCAGGGACCAAAACACACTTTAGAAGACAGGAAAGCCTCCCCATGTGCATATCTAGCAAGGCAAAGAGATTTCTGAGGACATATAAGTGAGTCTAAACTCAGAACACGTTAAAGTGAAAATCTGTGTGTATCTGGGCTGAGCCACCTAAAACGCTCCACTCTCCTCCAAGTGTCCAGAAAGCAACTTGCAGGAGATGACAAAGGTCATTACCATGGTCTTCCAATACTTGCCCTTAAACACCTGCTCCCCAATACAAGCTGCCCAGGACTGTGTGTGTGGCTGTGCTCTCTGAACTCCCTCTCTTCCTTTGCATGACAAAGGGGTTGGACTAGGAAATCTGATCCAGACACTGAGATCAGGAACTGAGTGCATCACAATCATTGGCCTGGGTGTGGGGGTGCTTATATTCTGAAAGTACAGGTATGTAAACCAAAATATCTGAGAAATACACATGTAATAGAATCCCCTAGATAATTCTCAGAAACTGGAGGTTTAGGAAGTCCTGGACTAGGTGAATAAACTCAGTCCCTTCGAGGTTTAACATATAAAATCCCACATGGTTTTCATTCTTCTATGACAGTATGTGTTTGTAACCCCAGATTTCAGCTCCCTGGACCTGTCCAGGAACTTTCTGAACCCCAGGTTACCCACATACTGTCAGTTCCCAGAACCTTCTCATCTCCACTTTGGCCAGGACTCCTTGCATTAGCACAATTCCTGGCCTTTGCATCTGTGGCTCTTTCTCCATTTCTGCTCTTGTGTCAGTCATGGGAGTGTATGGATTTCCATGGGGGTGAACATTATGAAGGATTTGGGAGGGGGGAGTTCCTGCAGAAATATGAACCCCTTTGGATTGAGGACCAGGCCAGCCTATCATCTGAGTCATTTGGTCAGAGACAAGGTGTTCAGCTCACCTCTCTCTTGGCTTCTCCTTGTGCAGTGCCAACTGGAGAGAACAGTCACCTGTGGTGACCAGATGGACAACGTGAAGAGGTGGAAATAGAAATGGAAGGTGAAGCACAGAGAGGACTCAGACAGCATGTGGGGGAGGCTGGGACAGTTACAGGCCTGAGGGCACAAGGCAGCTGGGAAAGGCTTGACATCTGTTCTCTGGAGAGCATGTGAGTGAGGGGCTTCACTGGGCTGAGGCTAAAGAGGTAGACTGAGGACAGACTGCACTGTGCACAGGGACTCGGTGAGCACAGAATGTTCGATTGTATTAAACGATGACTGATTGGCTGGAGCCACTTTACTTGGAGAAGCCTCAGCTTTGGGGCAGGATGTCAGGAGTTGGAGGGGAGTGTCCCAGTCTCTCCAGGACACTGGACATATTTAGATGCATTGAGACAGGACAGTAAGTTGACTTCCCAAGAGCAGAGTCAGAGCCTGCAGCTCACCTGGGACATAGGTTTCTTCTTCATTTTCCAAAACCAAAACTCCAGTTCTCTTCTTGTTTATCTCCCAGGACAACAACCCTAAGTGTTTCCCTATCACTGAGCAAGTTTTCTAGTTCTCATGGTTTTCCAAAGTCTCCCCTGGCTTCTGAATCTCTTGGGAAAACTTAGTATCTACAGCTTTGGTCACTAACATAGAATTACTTGGGAAAATCTAATATCTAAAGCTTTCTCACTCCCATAAGTGTTACAATCTCCTGTCTGCCCTTTGAATTTGATGTCCCTGAAAAGACAAAACCAAAGTCTCCAAACCCTCTCAGAGTATCATTCTAAATCCAGTCTAGGTCCTTCCAATGTTCTTCCCTCTATTCTGACATTCTGGGGAAGTGGGAAGCATGAACTGTATCTGTGTGGTGTCACCAGTTCTTTGGATTTGGCCTGGTACATTATAGGTAGTTAATCCTATTTAATGAATGAATGAATGAAATTGTGTTTGGGACTCTTTCGGGTAAGCATGGAAAGACAGAAGAGATGAAGAAATTGCCTATGATAAGAATACGTGCACTGCATACTTGCCCCCTGGTGTGAGCTCTGTGAGGGGAATGGGCAAACTCAGGACTAAACAGATGACTCCAAACATGTTTAAGGTGAAACAGTAAGAGTCCTGAATGTGCATTTTAGCTGAATCTGTGCCCCTGCCCAGCTGGGAGATATAAACTTGACTAGCTTATACTTCCATTCCCGAGGTATAAAGTGAGGTTAATAAACCTACTGTGATCTCCATGGAAGAGGATGAAGAGGGTATCAGATCACACACTGGATGAAGTGTGACTCACCAGGTAGAATGTTAGAGAACCAGGATGGAGGTTTAAACGGGTGTCTTATTAGCAGGAAGTAGGTTTAAGAGGAAGGGGAGTGTGGAGAAGAGAGAGAGGAGAGAAGGAAGGAGGAAGGAGGTGACCTCATCTAATCCTCTCAAGACCCCAGAAGAAACAACTCAATACTCTTAGTTCCATTTTTGTACAAATTTTTAACTTTTACATTAAGCAACTTCCAAGGTGGCACAGCTGGCCGAAGGCAGGACTGTGAGTCAAACCCAGAGTGTCTGGGACTCCAGCCAACTCTCTATCCCCAGGCTACTAACCCCTCTTGACTGTTTTCCCTGGGCTGGAATCTGGGAGAAGTATGGCTGAGGCCACTGAAGCCTCAAATAGGGACAGCTCTGCAGGGTGTGGACCACCAAGGATAATGGAGGTGAGGTCATGTCTGGAATGATGAAGGGGACTCCCCTAGAGAAATGCCCTCCAGATGGTGAAGCCAGGGTCACAGGTATAGATGGTGAAGATTCTCCTGAGTTCATAAGGCTTTGGTTGGAAAAGCAGAGTTGAGACACTGTTGTTCTTGTTCCAAGGGTTTCCGGGGTTCCAGGTAACCGGGTTATGTTGCTTTAAGCTTTGGAAGCTCACAGATGACTTGATCTCCAGGTTCCAAAGACACCACGCAGGCCATTCTAAGGCTCATCCTGGTGGGGAAGACAGGGGCTGGGAAGAGCGCCACCGGGAACAGCATCCTGGGCCACAGGCCCTTCCTCTCCAGACTCACAACCACTCAGTGACCAGAGCCTGCAAAGTGGGGAGTTGCAGGTGGGAGAAGTGGCACGTGGAAGTCATGGACACCCCAGACCTTTTTAGCTCCCTAGTCCCCAGGGCAGACCATGAGGTGTGAGAAGATGCTACTTGCTGTCCATGCCTGGGCCCCACGTGCTGATCCTCGTGACTCAGCTGGGCTGCTTCACTGCACAGGATCAGCCGGCCATGAGTGAGCTCAAGGTCCTGTTCGGGGACAAGTGGTGGCGTACACCATCGTG